CCTACTACCCCNGTGTAGCCCTTGCCTCCCCAACGCTAAAATACACAAGAAAATGCCACTTTGGTTGCGATAAATGTAATTCCTGAATAATGACTTATTGTCATCAACTTCACGTAAATACATGCATATTACTTTAGTCTTTTAGATGTGCTAGAATGCCTTTCCGATTAGTCCTAACGCATAAAGTTCAACTCTTTCAGGGGTCGAATCCCATAATACACAACTTTTTGGGAGAGGGGCTGGGGTCGTGGTGGTAGCAACCCTCACATCCTAGTCACCATGTTGTGGTTTCCATTCCCATTAACATCACGCCACTAACACTTTCAAAAAACTAACTCCTAAATTATTCGAAAAAATGGGTAGGGGCCTGTCATCCCCACTGAATTACCCAAAAAGAAACACTGATTCTCTGAAAAGCCTGTCACCAAGACTCTGAGTTCGGCCATGACAATGGTCTACTTCTCTTGAATTCAATGATTTCACTTATCATAAGGTTGCAACTGTTACCAATGGTAAGTAACAATAGCCCCAAAAAGATTGTGATAATTTGTGAATACATAATTGCTTATACATAGTATTGTAAATATTGAAGGCTGTGGCCCTTTTCATTAGGATAAAAAAAAAAAAATTGATTGTTGTGGTGGTAATTTTGGGACTGTCAGGGATCGCAATCTAGGGAAGTGCAGCATGACTTCAAACTTCTTGTTTACAGAGGATTATCAGGTATATTTGAAAGTTAAATTCCTCCTCAGCTGTCAATGTCATGAACAATTCATCACTTATTGCGTGGCAGATCATATATCTAATGGAAGTACCAGCAAATATGTGCACCAACATATGGCCATTAAGCCATATTTGTATAACAGAGTCTATTTCTTGACAATTCCACCATGCATCTTTGAAATTACGTGGAGTGTGAGTTATGAAACTATGATGGCGATTGAGATATGCATTGCAAAAACACTCACTTTGTTTGAGAGTATGTTTCATACAGATTCATAGAAGTTACAATGCAAATCGCTTGACATGACAATAACTGCTGAGTAGACAAGCCAAGAGAAAAAAGAAAAAGAAAAAAGAAAAAGCACGTTATACAATGACTCATAATTTGGTCCAACTCAAGAACCATACCCATAGGTTACCCAGCAACCTTATAATGGAGGAAAAGCTTGAGTTACTTTAGAAAATTAAAAGAGTCAAATTCCTGAATTTCACACGAAGTTTTACATGACAAATTCATGCTTCAGAAGAAACTAAAGAATTTTCAAAACAAAGAAAGTAAATCAGTAGATGCATTAATAATACTGGTATTTCTTATTCACGAGTTAATCAAAATCAGAACTACCACATAATGCAAGCAAGTAACTGGATGATATCAAAAAGTACCCCGCCCCAACAAAGTGTAAATTTGCAATATCAAAGAAATGTACTAAAAGATACATATATGATTACAGGAAATGGGCTTGGGTCAAGACAGTAGAGGCCAGGTTTTCATAGCCCAACGTCTCAAGTTCCATTCCTATGTAATCTTGTCAAAAAAAAAAAAAAAGATAGATATATGATTACCCTAACCGACCATCCTGAAGGATGCCCCTGATTCTAACAGCTTAAAATGCAATATACACTTTTTGGGTAAGCAAACGATGTACTATAATATTTCACTGAAATTAGATGCAGAAAAACAAAACACTGCACGTTCACAATTTACATAAGGAGGGGAGATCTTACTGCATGTGGATGATTGTGAACAATATCCACTGCTTTCTGATTGCTCAAGTGTTCCCAGAGACCATCAGAAGCAAATATGAGAAAAGAATCGCTCGGTTGAAGAGTGAGAGAAATAATGGACGGGTTCGCAGATAAGATGGGCATATTCATTGGTTCAGGTATTCTGAATTTCCCATTGAGCGGTTCCCTGTTATACTGAGCATGTTTCAGATAAACATCCCCTATACATCTAGAAACCTGCACCATATAGAGTTTATTATTGGTATACTCATCTGACAAACTCCACTAAATTCTATGGGTAGGAATAAACACTTTCAGTTGCAATAGCATGAAGCTGTATGACCCTCTTCCATTGTTCCCCACACCAAACTACTAAACAGTTCATTAAAGTCAGTATGGCCATAAGTGAAAAACTCAATGATGCATGTACACCACATGTATAATAAATATACACACATATAGAACACATCTAACTAACAAATACACACGTAAATGTCATAAATCACAAATAATACTCCATAAATAAACTAGTATCAATTCTGGTATAAAGGTAACACAATCAATCAAAGTGATACCACTAATAGCATGCTATGTAAAAAATCAAGGGAATCAAGAGTAACAAAGTTATATGTTCTGATAAATGAATGGCACGCCAAAAGTAATGTTCATGCATGCTAGGTGTACATAACCAAACATATGTGGCATACAAAATATTCAATCAATATTAATAGCAAAAACTGGATACAATCATTACTGGACCCCATTATTGATTGCATAATCCCTCCACAGGAACTTTTAATAGAATATATTAAAAAGTCCCAACAATAACTTAGGTAATTTTAAACTGCTCAATGATCACTAAAAAATTAAAAACTTTGCTCAAAATAATTATTCATGCCCTTATTATTTGTTTTCTATTTACTGTAGAAAAAACTTAGACTATAAAAAATTGATCGCACCCTAATGATTGGCTTTCCTAGTTTAAAGCCCGGGGATGGGTAAGTCCAATCGCTTAACAAGAACTAGGAAGGGCACATGACAAAGTGACTTTATTTTGTTGATAACAAGAAGATCAAATAAAGTGCTCAAAATAATTAGTCATGCTCTTATTGTTTGTTCTCTATTTACTGTAGAAAAAAAAATAGACTTCAAAAATTGATCCCGCCCTAATGATTGGCTTTCCTAGTTTAAAGCCTGGGGATGGGTATGTCGAATCGCTTAACAAGAACTAGAATGGTGGAGAGCACATGACAAAGTGACTTTATTTTGTTGATAACAAGAAGAAGATCAAATAAAGCACCACCCAACAGAGGTACACTGCCAACATGAGAAATTCTCACAGAAAATCAGCCAACTACAAATATGCCCACACAAGTAGGCCTATCATCCACAGAAAATCAACCACTCTATCCCAAACCAGGAATTCCTTTCTCTTTGATGCATTAGAATCTGAATAATACCAGGAATTGCTCCATCGGGGGCATGTGCCAACTCAATATGCCTCCATGCATATGGATGTCGTACTCATTCCCTGCCACAAAGCAAAAGCATGCCTTCACGTATTTAACTAATGAGACATATAAATGGCCTAAACTCTAATCCGTTACAAGTTCTTTTAAAACATCTCCCAAATTTCTTACCTTTAAATTGGTATCTACCATAAGAAAACTCTACTTTTTAATTAATCGCCAAAGAAGGAGCAAACTATGCAAATTTTGTAATTATTCATCACCATTCTGGAGGCCACCTGTTTTATTGTATTTGGTTCTAGTTTCCTTTCTTTTCATATACAAATTTGGACACATAATGTCTGCATTTTTTGTCCAACTAATGCCAAGGACAATTTGTATACCATCTTATACTTAATATATTCAGTCAATTTCTTCAACAAAGAAAAAATGATGTTTTAGTCCAAAACTCAGATAGCGAGTACAACGCCTTAAAGCTCTTATAGTCCATTGGCTGGAGATATAATATGGATCAAACCGTACACCATACAGGATTGAAGTTAATACAGACAAAGCAGTTAAGATATCTCAAGTCTAGCAAAAATACGAGGCCTTATAGAAACTCTTTGAGTGATTCAACGTACATTTTTTCACATCATGAAAGCGCAGAAGTGGCCTAATAGAAACCCTTGAGGTGATTTAATATACACCTTTTCCCTTCACAAAAGCTCATACACAGCGGGATGGTTGGAAAGTTCTTATCCTAAAAAATGTAACCATCCCTAGCACAAATAGTTGGGAAAAAGCTATGATGATGATGATGATTATTCTTAGCGCAAATCAGTAGGTTTCGTTTTTCTATCCCTCTTCTGATAAGCAAAGACTAGAAAGATAAGGGAAATGTCAATCTGCATCTAAAGGATACAACCAAGGGAGTAACCTGAAAAAGAGAATTTAATAGGGAATAAGGCTATCTCAACAGATAATGTCCAATAGATATTTATTAATTCAAAAGTCATAATAGAGACATGCTATGCCAACATAGGCTGCTAAGTTAATGACAGATGAACATCATGGAGGAATAGTAAGAAGAAAGTCCCAATCTTTCTGAGAGAGAGTAAAGTGATTGATAACATGTGCCATGTGAACACTAGGAATCATCAATGGAAAATCTCCTTTGAAATGAAATGCCTGCCAAGGAGGTCATATGGCTCTTTGTAGACGACATTTCTCATAGACCCCATTACAATTAAAGGGAGAAGGATATCCACAATATGGCCTTAAAATGTAGTGCACTTTTCTCTAGGCCACATCATTCCCTATAGTGCCCACGAGTGTATATGTTGCCCAAAGGGATGTGGATTACAATTCAAAAGAGAAAGTAATATTTCAAAAGTCAGACTAGAAACCATGTAATGGCTGCAGGTCTCCTCAGTATTATTTCATGCTCAATAAAGATGGTCCTCATAAAGCTAATAAGGATTCAACAGAGAATGCTATGAGATCCATGAAGATATTCGTAAGATAACATCAAGCAATGAGCATGGGGAAGAGGAAATTGGAAAGAGTATCACAAGGCAAAAGAGGTTAAAAGATCCAGACAAACATACTAAGGTTACAAGTTCCGTGCATGTGGCTAATGGTAGGTGCAAGACAATCAAAGCAAGTAATACACAAGAAATTTCATAGATAAATAAAGAAGGGAAAATACGGAACATAATTCAATGGAAAACAATGGTCCATTGATGTTATCATCATCCAATGAAACAACGAATGGTGATAGTAAGAGAGTGGAAACACCATAGAGGTCATGTCCTGTTCTGGTAGGTTCCACACTATCCGCACATCACACAACAATAACCCCAATGAACAATGCTCTTTCTCTATTTCATGGGATTATAGTATAATTTTGCCAAAGATATTACCATAGAAGTTTGTCTCACCTGTATGATGCCTTTTACTCTCCAAACCCCATGCTTGAGGACTACAACCTGTGGGTCATTGGGGTGCATAGCCTTCAGTTCTTGACGCACAGCCTCCATGTTAGCATTGTGCTCAGTCGACAACTGGACAGCAGCGACTTCGCCAGTATTACCAACTCGTCTTCCAAGCACAACACGAGAATCTCCAAGGTTAGCCACATAAAGAGTCCTCTCCCTAATAACACCAACCAAACAGCAAGAACCAACTGTTGCCATTTGGGGTCGACCGGGCCATAACTCAGAAACAAGGGAAGTGAAGCCCTCTTCTGTTTCCATGAAGGCTCGCCTGATCACATCACTAGACACCCCTTGTTCCTCAGATGAAAATTCTGCAATAATGGTAAGAAACAGTTTTTTTTTTAGTTCTGATATGTCATCGCATTCTTTTTTTTGTATTTTCAATGACTAACATTTCATGGAGACTGAGCTCTCTAAGTTGTTCATGTTGAGTACCCACATCAGAATAAAATAGGTTTTTCCGTAACAAAAGTGGTTCAGAAAGCTGAAAGGTGATATCCTCCCTGGGAATTGGACCATTGAAAAAAATGAAAATATGTACTCTGATGAAATCTGCAATGATGACATGCCGGGAGACTCATAAGAAGATTCAGTGGGAGTGAGTTCTCTGAATTGCACTCTGATAAGAAAGCTCTTGGGCAATTCAAAACCCACTCAATAAATTACACTCAGATCAAGACAGAAGGAAAATGAACGATACTTATGACTACTAACAAATCCATTTCCCTCATCATGAATAATGATTATAAATACCACACACCACCATTCCCCTTCCTGATTCCCTTTATTTATGAGAATTAATATGGGAAGCATTAGCTTGAGCCACTTGTTTGACGAAATTGAATACCTTTGCAGGAATATGTCCATCGTGTGGATGCATACATGGAGGAAAGGAAACCAAGCAGCTGACTCCCTTGCCAAAGAAGCAGCAGCAAATGGCAGACGACTAGAAGTTTTTTTGGGCTTTTTATTTTTTGCTCTCTATTTTTTGGACCCAACTTGGTGGATAGACCTGTTTTTCTAGGTTGTTATGTCTCACTGTAACCTCTTAAAAGAAGATTTTGATTCCATTTTTGGCCCTTCCATCCCTTGAGCATCCAACCTTTACTGTGGATTGCCAAGGTCTCTTGTACTTACTCACTCTCTTATTAAAGGTTAACACTTTCAAAACAAAAAGGGTATTAGCTTGAGCCAAGGTTTCACTGTATTTATTTGAATTATACTCATAATATGCCAGCCAAGCCTACATAATTCTTTCAACAATGTGAATAAACCATTTAGAGGACGAATATTTTCAGGAGCAGCTCCCACTAGCATCCAACCATAACTAAATAAATAAATAAAAGCGTATACAAGTTTAAACTTTGTTGTAATGCAACACTTTATATCAATTGATGCAAAAATTGAAGTAATGAAGAATTACCAACAACACGAAAGAAAGAAAGGAAAAAAAAAGAAGGAGTAGTGTTTGAGTTTCAAGTTCATCATCATCATCATCATCATTACCATTATCATAATGAAGTAACAACCAATTGGCAGGTTAGCAACAACATTTTGAGTGCAGATCTCATAGTGAGAGGAAAACATTAAAACAAAGGACTGCATTGTCAACCAAAAAAAACTACACAAATTAAAAACAGGAATTTCACAAACAGAGCTTCACAATGTCCAAAAACAACACGTTGGAAATTACAAGCATCCTAAAAGTTCTACACTGAGTCAGCCTAATCAAAACCACCAAAACAAGCCCAAGGTCTAACGAAATATATGAGACTAAAATGGGGCAAACATCGAAATCTAGAGAGAGAGCAATAGTAAAAATGAAAGAACTCGAGAGAGAATCAGACCCAAAAGCTAACCTCTGAAATGTCTGAACAGGTTATCACAAATATAGCGAGCAGTTTCAGGGCCACCATGGCCATCATAAACCCCAACAAAAGTACCAAATGGACCAGACTCGATCTGGCTCTGATCTTCAAGAACCTGGTTTGCTTGGATTACAGCCATGGAGAAATCACCACCTGCATAGCCACCAATATCTCTAAACCAGAGAAGGCCTTCTCTCCCTTCCTCTGCACCATTCCCACTATTGGGCCCCAAACATAGAGAGAGAAACTTCATCAAAGCACCAAACATCCCTCATCTCACCCCAAAAATCTCATACATGAAGCAAATCCATCGCTCTATTCGGCCTCAATCTTAGAGAGAGAAACTTCATAAAAAACCCAAAAAGGCCTCATTAAGTACTCATACACTGAAAATCCACGAATCATTAGCCCTTTCTCGCACTAAATCCACGACCACCAGAGCCTTCTGCCTTATTCCTCGAAGAATTAAAAAACCCACAAATTGAAACGTGGAAACCCGGAATTTCGCAGTACCCAGGAGCCGAAATCTCGCTTGGTTTTCAAAAAATCGAAAGTTCAAGAGAGAAAGGAAGAGGGATCCGAAAGCAAGAACGCCCAAAATGCTCAATTTCGAGGATCCATCGACAAAAATGGGGTGTTACAGGTGGAGAGAGAAAGACAAGAGCTCTTCTCAGCCATGGATTTTACCGATAAATGGGGAACGCTAAATGTGGAAGACGGATAAATAGGAGGTGGGGCTCGAGGATCGATGGCGTTTGAAGTGCAGGTACTGAGGCAGTGGCCTTTTGCAGGCAGGGAGATGTGAGATGTGTTATGAAGAGAGAAAGCGAGAGAGGTTAGAACTGTGTCATCAGTATCATGGATTGATGGAATGTGAAACAGTGGTTTTAGAGAGAGAAAGACGGAGAGGAATAATTATTTGAAGAGAGAGAGAGAAGAGAATGAATGAATAAATGGGTGATGAGAGAGAGAGGGGGAATAAATGGTTCATTCCATTTTGACAAGTAGAAGTTGGTGAGTAGGGTTCTTCATTGGGTTTTACTGAAAGGGAGAGAGAGCAGGAGGTAGAGAGAGAGAGAGCAGGAGGAAGAGAGAGAGAAAGCACGAGTAAGAATGAGATTGTTGAAATGGGGAATGTGTTTTCCATGTGATATTTCCTTTGCTCGTGAAAGCAAGTAAAGGGAAGAGGAGTGGAAATGCATAATTGATGGAGATGAATAAACGTGTTGTATTTTGGGAAGGGAAGGCCATCTCCATTTCATACCTGTATCTTTCCTTGAATCTACATCCATTCTCTCTCTCTAAGTTTATTTAGGATGACCCTTCTCTCTCATCTCTCTCCTCTCTGAGTGCTCATTGATGGTGGTGTCTCTTTCCCTCCTCTCTTTATTTATTTATTTATTTATTTCCTAATCATTTCTCTCTAAGGTTTATTCAGGTGCGATGAAGTTTCTCTAATGCTCAAGCTCCATGAAACTCAAAAAATATACAAGTCTTATGAAACTCAAAAAATGATACTAATCTAGCGGATCATTGAACAATTATTTTTAGAGATAATTGGACTGATAATTTAAATGATACTGATCTAGCGGATCATTGAACTATTATTTGTAGAGAGAATTGGATTGTCTAGATAATTTGTGCCGGTACATGTTGTTTCTAGAGTTTGAAATCGACCGATTTGCTTCGAAGTCTTTTTCAGTTTGATGAGAAAAAAGAAACATAATGCTTCAGCTGATTTGGGGGAAGGTTTCAGTTTTTTTTTTTAATTTAAGATAAATAAATTATATATTTATATATTAAAATAATGAAAAACTAATTTTTTTTAAAAAAATATTTTTATATAGATATTCTTTGCTTTAGCCAAAGAGGCCGAACTTTCGGCTGAATTGGCCCGAAGGAGACCCAAATCTGATCGAAGTGGCAGGCTTTGCTTCGTTTCGGTCTAGGCTTAAAATCTGAAGGCTTCGACCGAAGCAAAACAAATTTGAATTTGACATCACTGCTTGAAATTTTAATTTTAATTTTTTCACAACGATAATGTTTAGGCCGAAATGATGAATGTAAAGGTTTTCCAATGCTTGAATTGCAATATTGGAGGTGAGACTTGACTTAATTTGATTTTGTAGATCATTGAACACCTATTTTTAGGGCTTTTACAAAATGGTCAATTATCCCAGCATCTCTCTCTATCCCTTAAATTATGATATTATTGATGCTTAGGATCTACTGAGGCCCGTTAAACTAGTCTCTCTCTCTTTCTCTCAAAAGTTGTATTAGCACAAATGATCGATTAATGTCGCCTCTATATATATATATATATATTCAATAATGCAATCAGAAAGGACTAAATTTACCAAATATTTTGGCTAATAAATCAAAGTAAATTTCTGCCCAAGATTGTTCCACCTTTGATTTATTCAAGGTTCAAAGCATTCAAAGTGAAACCAGCATTTTGGATTAAAAACCCAAAAAACCATATATGATAATAATTGTCGCATCAAAACACTTTCCAAACGATTGCCGGGCTTGCCTACTCCTTCCTAAATGTAAGTTTTATATAATATTAAATAAATAAAGTGCACAACTTCTTACTATTTAGTGTTCGTTTTATAACGAAATTCTCCACTCTTTTCCCCTATTGATTCTCTCTCTTCCCGATCTCGTGAGAAAGTCTTCTATGCTCCCTCTACTTTTTATTTGAATTTTTATTACTCTATAGAATATATATATATTTTTATTTAGATCAAGTGAGGTACTGACTGTTTGATCTAGATTTGATACTTTACAATACTTTATTTTAATTTTTTTTTATAAATAATATGAATATAAAATTTGGTACATGTCATCGTATCTCAATAGGGTGCATCTAAAAAAATATATACAAAAATATTATTGATATAATAAAATAACTAAAATACTTTCACGGGGTATTATGATATTTTATTTTATGATTTTATATTTTTTGCCGATGCGAGTTTAAGAGAGGAGTGGATGCCCAAACGTTGGTGTCAAAATATTTTATAAACAAAAAATTAAAAATAAAACAGTATAAACGCATGAAATTGTAATGAAATCCGTTCTTACTATCCATTCAGATTCAACAGCTGGATGGAAGAAAATATACAAGGAAAAATAGAAAGGTTGTCCATATCCCCTCCGCCACTATCTCGCTCTCTCTCTCTCTCTTCTTGCTATCACTATTGTCTTTCCATGGAAAAAGTTTATATGAGGTTATAACCTTATATTGTTGAAGTAAGTTACACTCAAAAAATTCTATAATAGAGAGCATTTCAGTATAGGAGAAACCTCTAACTGATCATCTCAACTTTGAGATGAATGAATATGAAGAAAAAAATGAATATCAAGTACAAAAAATAGTGCATATTGTAACAAGTTATCTAGACTGTTTATTTTCAAGATTCTTAAGTATTTCTTGATATGCTTGATATGTACTATTTTTAAAATTTAAAATTTTATAATTAAAGATAAAAATAGATTTTAAAGCCATCATAAGATTTTCAACAACGAAATGACCTCTCTAAATAAATTTTATAGGTGTGCCATACTTCTACAGTATAAGAGGCAACCTTATACAAAACCTCACCCCTCATGCATTACGCGTATAGATAAACATAGGATTACTAGCCATGTTTTATTGGGGTTTGTCCTCTTTGGAAGCGTGTGGTCCCATAAAGACCAGATTGTTCATTGGTCCTACGACGGAACCAGGGGGGGAGGGGGTGGTTATTTGACTTAAAAAATTTTCCCATATTTTACTCAAGAAAAAGTATAGAATGACACCATTTACCTTTGGTACAAGGTAAGACATTAATCTTTACCATTGGATGTGAAATTGAGTGGCTATAATTATTCTATTGATCAAGCTCAAACTTTCAAAATAAATTTTTTCAAACTTTGTGAACATCCAAGCTATCAAACTTCACATCGGATAGTTGTAAAAAATTGTGACCACCTCCAAACTTTGTGATACATCCAAGCTATCGAACTTCACATCGGATAGTTGTAAAAAATTGTGACCACCTTATATCAAAGGTAAATGGTGTCATTGTATACAATCCCTTTACGAATCAATTAAAGAAAAAAAGAGTTGGAGTTGATAATCCTTAGATATGATATCCTTCAAAATGAACGGCCCACATTTATTTATTTATTCATGGAGCAGATTTTGATTAGGAGCACTTCATCAATTTTTTATATACTATGCTTCCTTTGGATTATTGTACGCCCACGTTTATAAAAGAACTGATTTGGAATCATATAAACAAAGATTTGAGAGTCCGTGAAAATGACATGCTCCCAACTAGGTGTTTGACCAATGGGACCAAGTGAAAAATATGGTCCCAACAAGTCCATACTTGCTTTTTGGCCTTGTTTTGTGGAAAAGATTGTATGTTCTCATGGACGCCAAATGTAGACTTACTCCACTGACTATAAGAAACTTGCTTAGGAGTATTCTATGAACCACAACTTTTTGGATATAATTTTCTTATCCACTTAACCAACCTATATGAATAAAAATAAAAAAGCCTCGAGACTTAACACAACACATTGAGCTTTTGGTTGAACAGATCTAGATGTTTAGAAATTGTTTTCTTCTTTAACATTGCTCATGTAATGATTCTAAATTGATTTTAAATGTTTTAAACCAAACAAATCTTCATGAGTGGGTATTTTGCCTGAGAGAACATACGTACAAATTGGTCTCATGACTCACTTTATGCATCCTTCTTTTTCTTTTTGACTTTTTAGGTAAACATTTTGGCTATGCGTGAGATATACCCCCCCTTCTTTTATAGCAAATACCCCCTCAAAATAAAAAATAAAAAAGTCATAGTTTTTTTATCAAAATGTCCTCCGCTTCACGCCTCTCTCTTTCTCTCCTAATGATAAGACATATTTGCCCTACGGTCCGGCAGTGTTTCTTGCAAGTCATATGGTTTGGCAATTCCTAATGCGGTCTGACAGTATAGTTTGCCGGTCTAACACTATGATGCCTCGATTCGGCATATATTCATACTATTCCAGTAGATACTGTGGTACGGGTTCCAGTCTGACAGTAATATGTACCAGACCATCTTTGGAGCTTGTAAGAATGTGACGTCTTCATGTACGAACACAGATATTTTTGTCCTCCAAATGATGGGCAAGGATATTTTTATCCTCCAAATTATGATGACTTTTTTGAATTGGGGGTCTTTGCTATAAAATATAGTTTTACAGTAAAAATTGCTATAAAAGAAATGGGTGGGGGAGAGAATGTAAAGAAAGTTGAATCAATGGGTAAAGTTTTGTTTAGGACTTTTGTTTTTTATCCTTTTAGCATTTGGTCACATCACTCCCCCTCTCTTGCCACGCCTATACACATGAATGAATCAATCAAACTTTTTTCCTTGCATAGTTTTTTAAAGTAATGTAGGAATGGAAGTTGAGATATAGTGCTATAAAAACCTAACTACTATTGTTTTGACCCAAGTCCGATTCCTCTTTTTTGTTTGCATAGGTGTCTGTTGTATGAAATTTGGTTCCTAATCTAGAACTATAGACTGTAAATCTTCTAATAAATAAAAATCTAAATTCTAAGCTTTAGAGCGTAGTACCAAATACTATTACTAGATTCTAAGCTTCAGAGCATAGTATCTAATAATATTACATAGTAATTCATATAGCTCTTCTAGGTCTCCATGTGGTATATGCATCATAGAAGAACCAAGAGAGCTTTTGTTGATATCCGTGTGATGCAAATCTGACATATTCTAAATCAGTTTCATACAAACACAGTCTTTGGACTTGAACTAGAATGAAGATCATGTTGTGGAACTACTTCCTATACTCTTTTGTGTAACCTAATATCCATCCTTGTGTGCCTGGTCGGAGTCTTTTCGGATTCGGGCGAGTAATTCAATCTCGCCTGAGTTTTTCGAGTTGGGCGTACAACTCAGGGATATAAAAAGAATAAAAAATTAAAAATTCTTATTTTTTTTAAGTGTTGGATTGTTTTATAATATTTTTTTATATGATTGGATGTATTTGGTAAAAATTGGTAATTACTTTTTTACGATAATCACTATTTTTATATCAGCTAGGGGGCAAGACCAACCCGGAGATATAAAACAAATAAAAAATAAAAATTATATATTTTTTTAAGTATTGGATTATTTTATAATATTTTTTATATGATTTGGATGTATTTGACAAAGACTGATAATTACTTTTTTGATAATCACTATTTTTATATGAGCAAGGTGCAAGTTCTGGCACCTTGATCTATCCTATGTTGACCCTGCCTTCCATACACTAGC